AATCATTGATTAGGGCAATAAGGGCTATATTAGTAACCATTATTATTTGAGTGATGCCTTACATTTCATGAAGCATTTGTATATAGAGTATCTCACACTATCTCATCTGACCTCTCAAAAAAAAAAAAAAAAAGAGTATGTTGGTTGTTATCCTAAGTCAAAAGAATGGCTGCTGTGTCCTTGAGGGGATATTTGGTGGAAATTCTATCAGTCAGAAGCATCATCTCCAGCCTCAGGGTCATCCACACATTTTATTGGTTTCTATCTTATATGAATAACCCAGGGCCCTTGTCTTAATGAGCTCTGAAGCCTGGATCAGTTCAGTCCAGTAACAGAATTGGGCAGCCAAGGGAGAGAAGGGAGGAGACACCAGGGCCCAGGCAGCTGAGGAGGGCTCTACGGAGAAAGCTAGCAGGTCGCCTTAAAGATGGCATCCAGGCATCAGAGGAAGAGAGGGGATACTGGGGACATTCCATTGCCTACTAGAACTAAGGTTGCCTGCGCATCAGACACAAGGACAGTCCAGAGTGCCAGGAATTGAACATGCCAAAGCATCATGGCAAACAGAGTACTGTGACTGAATTCCAGGGACTTGATGCTGGTTGCCAATCCCTGAAAACTCATGACGTTTACAGAATGGACTCATCACTTTGTGGTTGAGGAAACCATTCCCTGTTATCTTGGGAGTCAGCAGATTCTGCAGTGACACGCCTAGCCCTGCCTGTCTGGTTTCTACTTACCTGGACACTCTTTCCCTACTGAACATGGCCTAGGGTAGTGCAGGATCCTTAAAAGTGTGTTCCATGAGAGACTAAAAAAATTCCTGAAAGATATTTTGGTGGTCAAGTAATTTTGGAAAATAAAGCATGATATCTCTTCTTCTTGGAAAGTTACAGTCCACGTTAATGTATTAGAGGCTCTGAGAAGTCCTGAAGTAAAGAAATCTGTTTAACTTTTCCTTTTTGGAGATAGCCTCTCACTCTGTGGCCCCAGGTAGAACACAGTGGCATTATCATTGCTCACTGCAGCTTCAAACTCCCAGGCTCAAGCGATCTTCCTGCCCCAGACTCCCAAGTATCTAGGACTTCAGGCACAAGTCACCACACCTGGATAATTTTTCTATTTTTAATAGAGATGGGGTCTCACTCTTGTTTAGACTGGTCTTAAACTTCTGGCCTCAACCAATCTTCCTGCTTTGGCCTCCCAGAGTGCTAGGATTACAGGTGTGAGCCATTGTACCAGACCTTACACTTTATTTTGTAATTCCTTTGATTGTTATTACCAAGTGATAGTACATAGGAGCATGTGTCAAAATGTAAATCAGTTTGTGGCTTCCCTTATCAAGAAAAGTCATGCCATGAAAAAATGGCAGCTCTGCCATGAGAGGTGGCTCACGCCTGTAATCCTAGCACTCTGGGAGTCAGAGGCAGGTGGATTGCTTGAGCTCAGGAGTTTAGGACCACTCTGAACAAGAGTGAGACCCTGTCTCTACAAAAAATAAAAAAATTAGGCGATTTTCACTCGGGCATAGTCACTCGGGAGGCTGAGGCAAGAGGATCACTTGGGCCTAGGAGTTTGAGCTATGACACCACAGCACCCTACCTAGGGGGACATAGTGAGACTCTGTCTTAAGGGAAAAAAAAAAAGGAAAAAGGTTCAGTGCCTGTAGCACAGTGGTTACGGCGTCAGCCACATACACTGAGGGTTGGCAGGTCTGAACCCAGCCCTGGCCTGCTAAAAACAACAATGACAACTGCAACAAAAAATAGCTGGGTGTTG